CACTGGCATCCAATGGAGGGATGATTTCGCATCGTGAAACAGAAGATGCCTCCAAAATTGTTTGCTGTTGACACAAGGAAAGACAGAGAGATCAGTGAGATACAATCACTTATGGCCAAAGCATGTTTCCAGTAAGGCCTGGCTGCCCTGGAGAAGGTAAAGATAGATATGAGAGGTGGGTGTCCTGGTAAATCCAGCACTTTACACTGATTCCTTCAGAGCCAACAAATAAGTAACTGTGATATGTATTACAGATAGCAACATAGCAGCATAATAATCTAGACACCTGAAAGACTATCACTGCAATAGTCATGGCCTTTGGTTCACACCAGGGGCTCCATAGAGATTCTTTGCTTTGGCTTAATTTATCATTTGGAGCTGAAGTTGCACTATATCCAAAGTCTCATCTGTGCCTGGTGTAATAAAAATTGTGCCTTCAGAAAATCCCAGAGAGGGTAAAATATAGTCACAGAACAAACAGAATGGGACTGCAAAGCAAGCACATAGCTCAGTGGTGGTCATTCCAGGAGGTGTCTCGCTCCTCGCCTCGGCTCTGAAAGGGAAATGCCTGCTGCAGTCCAGCCTCTTGGGAGTTGAAAAGTGTCACAGCATGGCCACCCCACGAGCAGCACTCTGAGACCAAATTAAGGTGTGGTGTTGCCACTCAGGGGCTGTCTCCTTCCCTGTCCCTGACCAGGACTGCACAAAGGCCATATTGCCTACTGTGCCTGAGTTCGATGGTGCAAGAGAGGTGGCCTTGTTTAACTTCTTTTGTCAGAAGTTGGTTGTAACTGGACATGCCTGAGTATGCATACGCATACATATGTACTTATGAATGCATGCATGTATACCTACACACCTCTCCTCCTAAAACCTTTGTTACATTGATGTGGCTTTTCTGTAGGCTACATGGAAAGGTTGCCAGAGCATCAAAAAGCTGTATATGCTTAGAGGCAGAAGCCATATCGGGAGCCAAGGGGTGGACCTAGAGGCTTTGAATTCTTTTTTTTTTTCTCTCTGCAGCTCTGCTACAGACAATTTGGATGCATGACCCTGACAAAGCTTGTTTGGGAGGCATCAGTTGTTATTATTCCTCTTCAATTCTCCTATTCCTGCCACTATGCATTCTGGGAGCTCAAATATAATGATTGTATTCAAATCAGATGTAAGCAGTAAAAAGGAAAGGCACATTATAGTTGTGATAGCGTTGTGATTTAGTGCACTAGTCTTTGCTAGAGGTCAGAATACCAACCCTGTCAGGTATCACATATGATAATGAATGTGTAAGGTCTTGATCCAGATCCAATCACAAAATTATCACGATTTACTGCTCTATCTCCTCTACTTTTCTGTGACAGCATGAAGTCCTCTGATCTTCCTCTGAAAAGCAGGATGCACAATGCAATCTCATAGATCAATGGAGAGGGAAATAAATTAGATTGTCTCTGCCTTCTCAGGCAGTCATGCTAGACTGTATTCTGCCCTCTGCAAACAGCACATTTTGCCTACTTTTGCTTGTATGCTACTTTTGCTTTTATGCTAAACCAATACTCCTAAATAAGATGAAGGAGATAAAAATACAAATGTTTATATATTTGACATTTCTTCCTCTAAATACCTCCCAGTAAACCACTGGCAGTAATATCAGGTCATGTTCCCTAGGTGTACGTGTCCCCAAACTGTCAGTAGATATCATTCCTATGGCAATTACAAAAAGGTTCAGAAGTTTAGTACCAGGAGATTCAGATTCCAGCCCTAATTACATGTACTGTGCTCCTCTAAGAGACTGTCCTATAAACCTAGTTACAGGTTCTTCTCTGTTAGCCCTTTAAAAGCATTGGTCCCATCAAGGTATTGAAAAAAAGAATTGCAAGCAATAGCATATTATAAATACCAAGCCCATAAAAATATGCTGGAGCATCTAGGCAAATTACAGTAAAAAATAAGCATTAAGTTTTTAAAGTATGTGACTCATGACACATGACATATAACTTATGACACTCATGACATATGGAGTGGTGCATATATGCTGTGTAAATGTTAATTACATCAGGCTTAAGAGGTAGTCAAATAGTAATGATTTCTCATTTTGCACATGATACAACAAAGACAAACACGTGTGGCTCCTCAAGACCATATTGAAAGGCAGAACTTTTGTGCTCTGACAGCTAAAATTTTATTTCCACGAGACCAGCGAATTCTAGTCTCAGCAATCAGTGTTGATAGTGCTAATCTAGACATCATTCATAAACAGACCTCTGCTGATCATAGCCATTGTAATGGTGCAGAGGGGGAGAGGCAATCTCTAGTTCCAAGTTCACATGTACTCACTTACATACCTGTAGTTTATCCAGTGTACTAGGGACCAGCTGGAAGGTCAATCTTAATAAAAATGCAAGCTGTTTCATTCAACACAAAGCTCTGTTTAGAGCTGCATTTTATGGAGTTACTTAGTATTTAAAGTTGTGTGAGTTTTGCCTAGAGGTTTCACAGGTTTGTTTGAGGGTGATGTACTCATTTACTCAAATATTACAAAACCAGGTTGGTGTCCCTTTAAATACAGTGGGATGAAGTTGAATGAGTTCATCTTGAACTTGGCTTGATCACTTACTGAAAGAATTTAAAAAAAATCTCTGCAGGGCCAGCACTCACGATGTTTCCTTTTTTACTGCTAATTAGCCCTCATGCGTCTTATGGTAGTCGAAGCCAAAGGCATTAACAATAGTAATTGCTTCGTGGGCTGGAATTTGTGTCTGGGAGTTTTGAATAGAGAGAGGTAGGTGAATGGGCAGCTGCAGTGCTTGTTCTGAATTCAGGGGGTGTTCCAGAAGTAAGTGCAGCTTTCCTCATTGCCATGGGTCATCAAATCCCAAAGTAACTAAATTTCTTTGGTACAGTTACACAGTATTGTCCTGTTGATCCTACATGCCTTGCTGAGTATGGCATGCTTAGAGGGGTCATGCTGCATACACATAGGAGCTTGCAGTCTGGAGAGACTGGATTTGCTTGCACATCGTGGTATCTCCATGTGATCTCTCAGTGGAGCCAATCTGTTAAATAATGCTAATACAGTCTTCCTAACAAATTGTTTTAAAAGATTAAGGGGCTTATTTCTGAACTCATACTAGTAGATCTGCGGAAATTATCTCAAAGGCAGATGTGGAATGGAGTAAAAAACCTGGTGAGCAGTAATACTGACAGCCCTAGGGCTAAGAGTGGGAGGTTCTTAGATATGAGTTGTCGTCATGATATAACAACAGAAAAGTCCAGAGTAGTTACTACTGTAGCTCTCAAGATTTCTTCTGGTGCGGTGGCATCTTCCAGGCTAGACAGGACTGAATTTCCAAAATGAAAAAAAAAAAAAAAAGGGAAACAACCAAAGCTAAGCCTTGAAATCAAATGGCCCTTTCAGGCTTTCTGTAGAAAGGACACAAGATTACTCTTGTGAGGTGAACTCGCAGGTGAAATTTAATGAATCAAGCATCACAAATGCCTGATTTTACAGGTGAAAAAACAGAAACACAGAGGGGTCACCTGACTTGCTTGCAGCCACTTAATAGGACTGCGACAGAGAGCCTGTCACAAAAAGGCAGAAGCAGAGCTAGTTGTAGGGGGGGATTTCAGCAAAAACATTTTGTGTTGGCAAATGCCAGTTTTCTGGAATGGAAACATGTCCTGCTGGCCCACCTGGCAGGTGGCAGGGCTGTCCAGGCACCACAGCTCTGAGCACAGCCCTTTTATGCAGCCTGCCTTGGAGGGAGGGACCCAAGCACTCCCAAAGCCTTTGGGTTTAATGGAGCCCTGGAGTGGGTGATCTCAAGGTTTTGAAGATCTCTGCCATGGAGACAAGCACCTGGGATTTCTCAAGGTCCGGTTCTCTGGGCTCCTAGGGAATCCAGGCTCTGTGTTGTGGAGCCGAAAGCCTGGAAATACCAGCTCCCAACTCTGGTGCTCTCAGTTCAGCCAGGGCTTCTGGGCTCTGGCTTCTCCCCCCAGTTCCAGCTGCTGGAGAGTCGGGAGTGCAGAGGTCCTTAGAGCCCTGGCAGGGCTGGGAACCTCCAGGCTGGGGCTCAGTGGGTCGCAATGGCTGGTCTCACCGAACCGTGGTTCAGCCGTCTGCTTTTTCCAAAATGGAAGAATTTACACACACACACACACACACACACACACACACACACACACACACACACACACACTCTCTCTCTCTCTCTCTCTCTCTCTCTGGGCTCGCCTGAGCCTCAGGAACAGGAAGAAGGGACACCTCACTTTCACATACCCTACGCCCCCCCACATGCACACACCCTCACACACCTTCCCCCCACTCGCACCCTACACATCCACCCCCTCCCCACACAATCTGTGCCCATCTGAGCCTAAGGGAGAAGGGAGACCCCCCC